CTAACGTCAAATCCGATAGTCTTATCCTGGATTCAAGGTTACCGGATTCCCTTTAAATGCACACCTCCATTACGTCAACCTTTGGGCACAAATAATTTTTCTTCGACAGAAACATCGCTAGTTCGAGTAGCTATACGCGACTTGCAGAAGTCCGGGGCCATAATCAAATCTGAGTCAAGGCCCGATCAATTTATCTCTCCATATTTTCTTGCAGATAAATCCAACGGGGGAAAAAGATTTATATTAAACCTGAAACAGTTAAATGAATATGTGGAATGCCCGCATTTCAAAATGGAGGACCTTCGTACGGCTATAAAATTGACTCATAAAAACGTGTACATGTGCACAATCGACTTGAGAGATGCGTATTTTTTAGTACCTGTCCACAGCGACCATCAACAATTTCTAAAATTCTACTTTGATGGCCAATTGTATCAATTCACTTGCCTACCGTTTGGGTTATGTACAGCTCCGTTATGTTTCACAAAGCTTATGAAGCCAGTCGTCTCTTTTCTCCGCAATTTAGGCATCTCTACAGTCAATTATTTAGACGATTTTCTAATCTTTGGAGTTTCCTATGAATCCTGCCTTAATAATGTTAGCACAACCATTCGGTTTTTAAGCTCATTGGGTCTTATCATCAATAACAGCAAAAGCATTCTGGTACCCACTACTCGTATAAGATTCCTCGGCTTTCTGATAGATAGTGTTAATTTAACAATTGAACTTCCTGCCGAAAAGAAAAATCACATCCTCAGGTTAGCCTCATATTATTTGAACCAATCGAGATGTAGAATTCGCGACTGGGCAAGGTTCATTGGCACCTTGGTGTCGGCTTGTCCTGGTGTGAAATACGGGTTTCTTTATTGCAAATCTCTAGAAAGGGAAAAATTCTTAGCTTTAGAGAAAAACAATGGAAATTATAACGCAAGTATGGCTATTCCTGAAAACATAAAGAGCGATATTTCATGGTGGAAAGATCACATTTCAACAGCTTTCAATGACATAAGGTATGATTCCTTTCATATCACCATCTTTACCGACGCATCGCTAACAGGATGGGGGGCTTGCTCTGGCCAGGATAGAACCCACGGTTTCTGGTCCGACTCCCAAAAACTATTGCATATAAATAATTTGGAATTATGGGCTATATTTTACGGCATCCAGTGTTATGCAAAACTTTTAAAAAATTGCAATATTCTAATTCGATGCGACAATACAACAGCCGTTTCTTACATTAACAGAATGGGGAGTGTTCGGTTTCCAGAGCTATGTTCTCTGGCTAAACAAATTTGGCAATGGTGTGAGGAAAGAAATCTCTGGCTTTTTGCATCATACATCCCATCTAAAGATAACGCTATAGCAGACGATGAGTCCAGGAGCTTGAATTTTGAAACGGAATGGTCATTATCTCAAACTGCCTTCGACCATTTAACCGACATCTTCGGAAAACCAGAGATCGATCTTTTTGCCTCTCATACCAATGCGAAATGCGAGGTATACGCTTCCTGGCATAGAGATCCAGGATCTACATATATCGATGCGTTTACAATTCGCTGGAACAGTTTTTATTTTTATGCATTCCCCCCTTTTACCTTAATTCTCCGAGTTTTACAAAAAATAATTCAGGATAAGGCTGTCGGAATTTTGGTGGTTCCTTGGTGGCCTTCACAACCTTGGTACCCACTTTTCCGTCAGTTATTGATCGACCAAGAAATTCATTTTCCCCCTTCACCTGATTTACTATCTTGTGCGGTTTCCAGGTCACATCCGCTGTCGAAAACCCTTACCCTGGTAGCAGCGAAGTTATCAGGCAAGCGTTTTTGAGTAGAGAGGTGCCGGAATCTGCTATTTCTACAATCATCGCCTCAGTCTCCAGATCCACATTGCAGCAATATAACAGCTCCTACAAATTGTGGTGGGAATTTTGCTTTAGTAATGACATTTCGATCTTTAAACCCACAATCAAAGACGTGGTGTCATTCTTGCAAGAGTTGACAAAGAAGAAAAACCTCACGTCTGGCACTTTTAATTCTCATACATCTGCTCTTTCACTAATTTGCTCAACTGATTTAGCATCCAATCCTATAATTAGACGCTTCAAAAAAGGCATTCATCGTTTACGGCCTTCTCGGCCAAAATATTCGGCCACCTGGGATCCTATACCTCTCCTAAGTTATCTAGAAAAGTTACCATCTCCACTTAGCCTCCAAAGTCTGTCACAAAAATTGACAACGTTATTAGCTCTAATAACAGGAGAAAGACTCCAGACAATTTCTCTTATTCGTCTTTCACATACCTCCCATGGTCCCAGCGAAACTACCATTAATATTTCAGACCCAATTAAAACCAGTCGAATTGGGAAACCTCAACCAACCTTGCATATACCGGTTTTTCAACAAAACCCTTTCCTGTGCGTAGCCACCATCCTGAAGGAATATATTGACAGAACAGCTAGCTTGAGAGAACCCGACAACGATTTTCTATTCGTGACATATAAAAAACCACATACCAGGGCGTCCAAAGACACTTTAAGCAGATGGGTAAAACAGACTCTTGCATCGGCGGGTGTCAACACAACACTTTTTACGCCTCATTCAGTCAGGCATGCGGCTACCTCAACGGCGTTAAGAAAAGGCGTTTCCGTAGATAGTATATGTAAAACAGTTGGTTGGACGCAACATTCCACATTTGCAAAGTTTTATAATCGTCCTTTACAAACCAACAATGAGTTTGCAAATGCCATTTTGGACATAAATGCCTGATTAGTTAGAACAGTTTAAGAGTTTGTGACGTACTTTAGGTACTCTAGTTGTTTTTTGAAAAAATATTACTATTAGGGTAAATGTTAAAAATTGACCCCTTGTTTTTTGCTTTTGTTTATGAGAATGCAGAATATATGTTTTTGCCTTTTTGTGTTTGTATACTTGTATTTTTTATATCATCAACTCGCTCGCAACTCTATCTCATCTTTAAACATCTACATAGTGAATAAACAAAGTGATGTCTTCGGACTGGACCCAAAGTATAATTGATCGATCAAACGAACTTACCTGAAGTGAAGTTCGATCGTAATTATACGAGGGTCCAGTCCGAAGACATCACCCCCACCCTATATGCAACCCTCCCAAGTTGCGAGCAAGTACCATTTCTTTAAACAAATGATTCAACGCGAGTGGCCAGGGCGCGGCGAGGAGGTGGGGATTCTCGTCTTTCAACTTGGTGCGCGGATCGTACTCCAGGGGCGGACTACATAGTGAATAAACAAAGTGATGTCTTCGGACTGGACCCTCGTATAATTACGATCGAACTTCACTTCAGGTAAGTTCGTTTGATCGATCAATTATTATGTCGAGATTTTAAGACTTGTATAGATTGCGATGCATTTGGAAAATCTACTGATGGAACATTATACACATATTGTATATATAATGTATTGAACTGTTTTCGGACAAAGCTCGTCGCCTGTAGGATGAGGTTTGTTTGTATTATGTTGCGTACGATGCGGACATATGGACGCGTACCTTAACGAATCGTTCCATTGATGTTTCGATTTAGCCAATATATTAAATCAGCTCATGAAATAAATGAAAACGAACTCAATACCTACTGATGGAACATTATACACATATAATGTATTGAACCGTTTTCGGACAAAGCTCGTCGCCTGTAGGATGAGGGTTTGTATATTATCTCTCAATGTCTGTGCTGAGGTGCATGCCTACTTGTATGTATGTCTCTTTCCCTTTTAAAACCGTTGAACGACCCAACAATAACGCGGCCAATAAGAGAGGGAAAATGACGAGCCGAGGAATATTAGATAATAAAGACGAAACTGGAAATTCGTGTGGACTGATGCCGCTGCCCAGGGATATCCCTTTTTCGACGCAAACGGTATGATACAGACAATTTAGTGATATACCATAGCATCATGGCTTAATATTGTCATAAGTCATATTGTACTCGTAGTACTACTGTCACACTTTTGACTATATTTGCAAATTCCGAGAGTTGACATTGAACCCTGCTTTTTCAGTTATAAGCAACTATATATCTGAATGGGGTATCAGAGGCAAGTTTTAGCTATGGTTGATGAAATCTGTTTAAAAGGTTTGAGGAGCATGAACATGTGGTGATTAATCCAATAATAAGCGAATAGCCCTTAATGGAGCATCAGTTGTTAGGGTTTAATTTGTAGATTACTAAACCGGCCTTATATATACGTATATATATAAAATCGATCAAGTAATTCATAAGTTAGACATACATGATTTTTATCTATATGGGAAATGCCACTTTGCTAATAAAAAGTGTCGACATGAGATTGACTTGAAAGTATTTTTTTTAATTTAGCAAACAGATTATGTACTCTTCTATGCACATTCTGTTGCACTGTTATATTCGAAGTTATACTGATGATACATTTATAAATAAAATGAATAGCAACAGTCACTTCTCGTACCGACGTTGTCTAATTTGACTGGACAACATTTCTGCCCGCGTAACCCTTTTTCGGATCTCCGCCGAAAATTTAAAAGGGTATAGACGAAGGGATCTCAATACGTAATAATAAATTAATGAAAATTAGCATGGAAACCTGATATTGAGTATCGGGGTATATTAAAATCTGGAGGGAAAATGTTCTTTATTCGTCCAGAAACTCAATACACGCCCCTTTCTCTTTCAGGATCAAAAATAATACGGATGGCCGCTTTCATTATATGTACAGATATTTATTATACTTGGCAAACAGCTTTGTACTGTCCTTTATATGTTATATTACATGCTGAGGTTGTCTTTTGGAGTTTTTCACCGACGGCGAGGTTTGGTCATCAGAGCTCGAAGGAGTCAAAAAATCAGTAACGTTAACGTTGAACGTATAGTACAATACGCCAAGAAAAGGAACGCTTCATTCAGATATTTTTAACTACTTCAATTATTAATTAGCTAGCTATTTGCATTTTTTAGGAACAAAAAAAGAGACAGATGAACGATATTCCTTACACATGTTCTTCACCCAAATAACAAATTTCTAACAGAACGCCCATTCTATTTTTCTGTTCTCGCTAAAAATAGTTACCATTAATTAACTGTTCAAAAAAAACTATTTCTTTCGATCGGGAGACCGGGAAATATTTCAGATAATTACAGAGGAATATCAGAATCGTTCTGGATATTTTTAAGTCAACTGTCCCCTTCAAATAAAAATAAGAGTATAAATAGAATATACCACACTATTGGGAGAATCTACTGGTGTTTGACTCTTGTTTTTTCATCACTTTGAAGGATTTATTGCTGCTGGATGTAGAATGAATTAAGGCTTGAGGTAGACGACACACACACATTGATTGGTTAGTTTGAAAGTTTCTGCGGGAATAATTGCTAGGAATCTATCTTCTTGAACAAAATATGTGAGTAACCTAAGTTTCGTTTGAAGAGAACGCATTTATTGGTTTCACAGTTTCAAGGAAAGTATTATATGAATTGTTTCTAAAATCATTAGAAATTCGAGGAAAATCAGAAAAATGAATGCTGTAATCATTTTTCACACATGTTGGGGCCTTCAACCACATCTATAATACTGACGATTTACAGGGCTCGAACGCTTTGACACCATGCAAATATTTTGATTGCGTCTAATATAAAATCAACCTTATAGAACAGATCAGCGGGATTTCGAAAAATTCTATTTAATGCATTAGTCAGTGATAAGGCTCGAAATAATACAAATATTTTGACATACATCTAGTATAAAATGAAACATAAATCGGTGGGAAAACCTGTTTAAAGAATTTGTTAATGTTTACAAACGAGCACCTATAGTTTTGTGAGGTGAATAAAATATGCAACAATAAGGTATAAGGCTTAATTAAGTATTCGTGATAGTAGTACAGTAGGCCAACATATGTGCATAGTGATCCACTTCGTGATTAAAATGTAAAAATTTGGGGTACTTTTTTCCTTAATGTGTCTCCGTTTATGTCTTTTCGTCGCTGCAGCATTGTATCGAATATGTGTCAGGTTCGGGAATACAAAGAAGACGACGTTAGCCGTGCCCGCCATATTAATTGCCATGCCAACTTTCAATTATTCTGTTTTTGCCCCCTCCCCTACCCCCAAACGCCTCCCCGTTTCCGCGTTTATCAGTTCGGGGAAAGCTACCGACCCGGAAGGGCCAACACAATAATTTTTGGCGGGCGACCGCCAAAAAAAGGGTTGTTTATGGATGCGGCCGCAAGAAATTACTGACAATCACGGTTTTTAAGTCTTCAATTTACAGGGGGTGGGCGATATCACCACAAGTTTATTGGGCTGTTGAATGTATAGTTTGGTACCGGAAATAAAGAGAGTAGCAATACATATCGTACGCTACTGTTAACGGGGCGTGTGTCTGTATATGCCACGCTAGCAGTAGCGTACGATACGTTATGCTACTGTCTTCCGTTTTGGTATCCGAATGTAGCTCAAATATTATATAGTGTGATAATGATGACATTTCGAGGTGTGATTATTCAGGTCATTTTTGCTTCAGTGTTATTGAACTGCTAGTGCTGCCTCAGGAAACATTACACACATATTTTTCATAGATGTTGCGACATGATGACTGATATTTTTCAGTTTGGATATTGATTATGATTATTCAGTTCCATATGCGACTTTACTGTAAAATTGATTAAAAAGTTCGCTTTGAGGTAGCGCGGAAACTTAACCATGCTTTGCTGAAATTAGAGTAACATTATAACAATCTAATTTCCAGCCATTGCATTCCGTGTTTCCAATACGAATATATTGAATATATTGTAATTACAGGGTATTACTCAACAACATGTAATTATAAGGTCGCATTCCTGAACCATATTTCAGCAGAAACATGTGCCCTGAACAGTCTAGTTTTCAAACTACAGAATGTCAAAGTTTGAAAAAAGTGGGATGCCGCCATTTTCAGCACTTCTCTCATTTTATAAAGTTATTTCTTTTCATTTCTTAGACTTTGAAAAATGGCTTATAAACTAATATTGTGCATTAATCAAATTATATCGATTAAATATTAGCAATTTTTCGATGTGTAATGAAGTTGTTTTTATGTTTTCTTCTAAAGACGAATTAAAGATACCAAGAGACAAAAAAGTCAGTGGCGTACCTTTTTTTTATTTATTCGTGGAACTGATTTCCGCGACGACACTGGAATCATTATTAGTTAATGCAAAATTAGTGCATTATACAATTAAGAAATTTTCAAAATTTGTCACCCTCTAGCGTGGAAAGCAGACTCTTTAGGGCATATATTTATATCGACTTTTCTATTTGTAACACCCTTTATGGTATGAGAATCCAATCATACGATCTAAGTAAAAGCTAATGGTTCCGCTACACTTCTACAAATGAACGTGTGCAAGAGAGGAATGCACAGTATATTAAGAACAGTGTATCTCGAAGTGCCCGCGAGCACTTGCTGAATCAATAAAATATCAAATAGATCCAATGATCTGACACTAATTCGGGAAACGTTAGCAAACAGGTCGACGTCGTCGTGGCCGTATGTTTGCACCACTAAAGCAAAGGAGACTTGATGGCACTACTTAATATTTCTTTATTTATGTGGAAGGCCGTAAAGTAGATTACAAAATGGAAAGGCTACGGCGTACGCCTTACTGTCTTTATTAATAGAAAATCGGGTATTTACGAGAATAGTATTTGGAATGGAATTAAGGAGGTATGCACCATTCACTTTTTGGAGTTATAGGCAGGATACAGCCAGGCAATTCGTGAAATGTTTCTGCAAAGCTTCATAACTAGACAAGTATCTGTTATCTGAAATGGAGAGGAATATCTACTGATCTGTAACTTAGTACAAAAATGAGAAAACTCAAGAACGCCACCTATGGATGAATGGCACAGCAGATCTTTTGCTACTATCATTGTACTCGTAGCTGCATTTTGCCGACACGCTTTTTGGAATAAGTAGTCTACCTTGATGCCAAAGTTCTATGTTAGCATTTGATATTAATGATGACTGTCATCTGAGTTCCAATTTTTCATATAAGATAAGTATATTATATATAAATATAAATAGTTATTTTCAGTTTGTACTTATTGTGACAATTCACAGACACAATTTCTGCCTGTTTTCACCGGACTATTGATTTGTCTTCGCGTCGCCTCATTTGTGTTTTTTCAAGCTGCTCCAGATGCCGATTTTGAAAGCTTTTTGGACCTTCTTACGGAGAATACTGAACAGAAACTATCTGTTATTTTGCTTAGATAACCGTTATTCAGTCAATAACGGCTAGACCCATTAAGTTGTTCTACTTCGACGTCACTGTTTTGAGCTGCTACGATTCCGCTTATCTCTTTGTACGTGACGTGGCGATAAAGAGGGGGTGGGGGTTAGTTAGGCGCCCACCACAGTTCGCGTGATTTCGGCCTTCCTCATTGTTATTCTTTTGTTTTCGCATAGGTTTCGAGCGACTCGATAGAGCGATTTTTCGGATAATACTATGCATACCAGGGTAGAACGAATTATAAGCCAGAGATGGGACAGGGATCGTTAGTTGTTTGACTAAATTTTTCGGATACCATAAGCGAAATGTATCGCAGCAATAGCCCGGGCACATTAGAGGTAAAATTACAGCAACTGATTAGAATTTTTATCCGTTTTCTTATTTAAAATGACGGCAGCAGGACTGCCGGTAGACTGAACTATAAACTAGCCATTCATCTCGGAATATCTAAATTCACCCATAATAATTCGACTCTATTAACTGCGAGACGTTATAAATATGTGTGATCCTGCGTCATAAATTCCCCTTAGCGTAATGCTATGCATACGAGACGAGAAGAAATTATTAAAAATCACATTTATCATTGATGGTATAACTTACTTCTTTGTCTTTGGCAGCGATTTCAGTTTCAAAGCTATGTCTGTCCATGTTTGAGGTATCCTTGTTTTCGCAGTTGTTCGATGTTGTATTGCTATTCAGTTGTTCTTTTAACGTTGTTACTTCTTTTTCCGCTAACGTCGCCCTCTGAAACAAACAAAAAGAAACATTAAACTTCTTACCTCCAATTAGTATATAAACTCATGTTTGGATTTCCTCATCAATGAACTTGACCGGGTGGTTGTTGTTGAAGACAGCATATCGGAGCATGTAGCAACCTCAAACATTTCTTTAAATGACAATGACAAATACATCTTCGGTGCTTTCATTTCCGTTTCTTTAATATGTGGTGAAAAAATAGTGATCTACACGTGCATATTTTAAAACCAGCTGAAATCAGGTTTAGTCAAAGTTTGTCATCATCCGTAGCTTAAACTACTACCACTGCATTTCGCTCGCATAGTTTGTGTTTTGCAAGCTCGTAGGAAATGATTATACCTATTCCTAATCGACTTATAAATTGCTTTTGAAATAAAATGTGATTGATGATAGCCTGAGTTAGTTAGCGTTTAGCAGAGAGCACAGAAGGCATGAAGAAAAGCCTAGGGTAATCTGGGATAGGCAGTTTCATTCCCTAAGCACGTTCAGCCTTCTAAAGCGACAATCGAGCTTGAGGTTATTTGAATGTTTTTCATTGTACCAGATACGTCATCCTCGCCAATCGTACCAAAAACGCTAAACGCCCCCCGAGAATGCGAAAAACCCATTCAGAACCATTTTCGCAACATAGCGGTTAACTGTTACGCAATCTTCGACTACTAATGCTGCATGTGCATGGTTCATGTATCCTAAATGCGTGAAATATTACTTTTACATCTAAAGGGAACCATGTTGTTTATCCTGCGAGGAAATAATGTCAGACACAAACAGAATGATTTTGAGATGTCCATGTTAAACATCTACGTATTTGAGATTCTATAACAAACCATAAGATGAACCCGTGGAAGGAAAAGTCTTATGGTCCATCAGTCGGTTTGGAAAGTCTCATTCAGATCTTTCCTTTAAGGCTACCCAACCAAATTCGGTCTCAATTCATAGAGGAACTAGAAATTAATTAATTTGAATTATTACCTCTCAACATAAAGGATGACAATTTTTCCAAAGCAAGAAGGTATAATGTGATCCCACTTTTCATTCCTCCATTTTGAGATACTGTCAGGAAGCCAGACACACCGTTTTACAACAGTTTTGTTGAACCCAGGTGACACAAAGAATGTGGGGTCCTCTAATAATCTCCCTTGTATCCGCTAAAGTTTCGTCTAATCCTCTTTATAGTCAGAGGATATATTCATCGTTTTTCGCAGAATCTGCCTCGCAGCGGCTGAGGGCAGAGAACAACTGCTAACCATATTATCGTATATGGCAAATGTCCATTAGGAACAATTGAATTCCGGCCTTAATGCAGTTAATAGTTAAAACCCTATTGAAAATTGGATATTCGTGGACGGGACGGAGACTCGTGTGCGAAAACTGAGCAAGTTTTAGTTTCCGCCGTGATTCCATGGTATGTGTCGAGTTTAGGGTCTTTATAGGCCAGTCAATGTAGACTTTTAATCCTGTAATAGATATGATGGTATGATTACATCAAGGTGGGACTAGCGCGACAATTGAGGATAAAAGAACACAGCAGAAACTATGGATTTTTCGGTTTTCTTGCGATACTGAGTGAAGCAAAAGTAACGGAATGGCTCGGTACCTTTTCACTAAACTATTTTTGAGAAAGCGTACCTCTAGAGGTCAAATAAAGTTTTAAATGTGTGGAGCAATTTATAAGAAATTATCGATTGAAAATTAATAAGAACAAGGGTTTCAGTAGTAACCTTGGATTCCACCTTGAAGTTCAGCTTCAAGTTATCTCGAGCTCAAACTTTTTCGACACCGGTAGTTATTACACATTACTTCTATGACTATTGTGTTCTTGAAGGTGGAGCTCAAGGTCAATATTGAAACCCTTGTTAAAATTTACTCGTGACTTTTTTCATCTGTACTCCTACTAAGGTTCTAGGAGTTTTCCCTAGCCTCACATTTGACTTCCATTTGACCTTTAAAAGTGACCTTGATCTCAGATTTTGATATATATCCCGACGTAAAGTTTTCCCTTCTTACGATTGACGATATCAAAAAGGGGCATTCCGTTTTAGAAACAAAAGTTGACCTTGAAATATTCTTGAAGGATAGTCAAGGTTAAATTCGAGGTTACCATTGAAATCCTTGTTCAAAGTTAGGAAAGGATTGACCATGACTTTTTTCAAAAATCCCTTACCTTAATAAACACAACTTCTGTCACATTTAATGTATTTCTAAAAATAAATAGAATATTATCTTGGGGGAAACTGTTTCAATAAGGAAGCTGTGGATTTTATACAATATTTGAGAGAGGATTTTAGCACCCCAGACTGCGTCTTAGAGGGAACATGATCTCATCAACTAGATTATCCTGTTATGAATCGTATTAAATATCGATAGTGTAACCGGAGCGATCAATGTTTTATTGGGCTTTTGTACAGAGTGAAAAGGCTTTCAGACTTTCCAGGCATCAACTATAAATTTGATGTTTTCACATGCTTGAAGATTCACCCTGTAGGAGAAGTTGATCGTCCATGAATCCAAATACCAACGGGGTTGTAATTTCAAGCTATATTTAGAAGTTTTAATAGTTTTTTTATAAGCTCTCAAGTATGGGGGACAGATTATACCTACGTAGTATTGTCTCTTTTTAACGACGGCGGACGCCTCGTTCGGAAATATAAAACTTCGCCTTGAAACCTTGGTGTGTAAATTTGATCTATCGGCCGAATTTGATGTATATTGGACAGCTGTATGGGATGGTTTGCTGGTTTATTAATACCCTTTTATTGCTCGACTGATACTGCGAAGGACTTTAATTGCCATGGTCGGCGCCAATGGACGAATAAAACTTTTTTCGGAGGTGTTTTGGGACTTGATTGAAGCTTTACGATAGCTGTAAACAGTTTGAGAGATCTCAAGAAAAATCTTTGATTCCATCCGTCAGCTGCAATGAAGACGCGTTTGATGTCTGAAGTCGCCGATCCATACGCTATCTAGTAGAACCTGCTTTGGAAAGTGAGCCATTCAGTCCAGGTATTTTCGCTCAGAAAATTATTCTGATTTAGCTTTTTTGCATAATCAAAAAAATACCTTTTTGGGGCCCCCTATCAAGCTGGGCCGTTGGCACACACCCCGTCTCCCTCTAGAAGGCTAACGGAATAAATTATTCCAGTTATTAGGGTATAAGTTGGTGAACTACTTGAGGAACCACACTCAACTCAACATTTACTATTTTTCAGTCGTTTTCAAACACTGCTGGATTCAGTTGTCAAAGTGACATAATGGAATCGACAATGCAATTTTTAATATTATTAATTATTCATTAAGTACTTTTTCATTATCATTGCTTACCGAGGGATAGAAAAGTTTCATTTCGGTCGAAAACGATGATTTCTGGGGTTAGTAGTGAAAATAGTAAATATACCCCAGATATCTAATCCTTTTTTCAACCTTTGATGCATTACAGATTAGAAGCTTTTATTTCTGGCCCCCAAATTGGCATTTTGGTATATTATTTCATACCTCTAGTTGCATCGATATTGTTTTGTTTCAATTTCCACAGCCTACGCGTGCATATCGATGCACATCAATTGATGCAACGTTTGCCGCGCATCATATTTGCCTTGTTTCACGAACAGGTGTTCGTCAATTGTTCGAACGTCAGCTGCCATCAAGCAGGCTGGTGTCAGCATGTTCGATGCCATCGTCGTACGTCGTTTGGATTTTGACACGTTCAAATGATCAGGGGACCGTTTTTTAGTAGATGGGGAGGGTCACAGGTTTAAAGGGTATGTATCAGTGTAATTGAATGCTATTAAATGTGATCGTCAGAAACCTTAACATTATATATTCCGATTCTGTTTTTTTTTACTCCAGTTACAAACACTTTTCATTTCTCATGTATACTTGTCCTCAAAATTCAATTAGGCGAAATTAGTCGAAATAAAACTTTTTTTAGGTTTTGTATATTATAGAGTTTCCAGAATTATTTCCTTTTACTATTTCTGTCAATCGATTTGTCAAAGCGTAATCGAAGCAACTGCTACTGAAACTGTCGAAACCTACTTTGATGGTTTTGAAAAAAAGGATTCGCAAAAAGTGTTGACACTTGTTTCAACTAACAATTTGATTATCCTGCTCGAAACATTGCACTCCAGTGGATATGACACATGAGCTTTATGTAAGAGGTGCTGCAACATGGCAGACAGCAGAAGTGACGTCATGGTGAAACTCTTCAATACCGTCAATATCACTGTGACGGTGCTTTTAAAATAAGGGGTGACGACTTCTTCTGTGTCTTACTGTGAAGCTTGTACAGCAAATTGTACAAATTTCGTCACAAAACTTATGTGTTGGATTAAAACTGTTTTTTCTTCAAAGGAATCATTTACCTTTAATTCGTTCACACACTATAGACTGTTTATTCTTCATGAAATCCTACAAAAAGAAAGTGAAGACGAAAATATAGCATTTTTTCATTGTTCGAAATAACTGTTTTGGAAATTTAAGCCTTGCAAAAATAAATTTAAACAATTTAAATCGTACATTAATACTCCCCTGTGAACTTCTATCGATTTGTTCACCCTTCTCCGATCCGAAGTAGCTATAATTTTTCATTTTTGATTGTCAAATTCCGTATCTCGGTAGAGATAAAGATTAATAACAGAAAAGGGAGAGACAACAGAGAGACGTCGAGCCGGTCTCTCCTGTTCGGTTCGTTGAGGCTTTGAGCCTCCATCTCGCCGCTCATCGGAAATTTTGTCACACTTTGATTGCTAATTAGACTTCTAGGGACCCTCCCTCGCCCTTACTCTTTCCTCGATTTTCAACCCTTTGCCGCAGCACTGCTGAAGTCTACCCTTCCGAATCAACTTATTCTCTGATAGTCGTCATTTTGGCCATTCGTATTGAAATGCCGGCAAATTTCAAGTTGTGGGGACCGACTCAGTCATATATTCCTTTTCGGTGAAAACCTCATTTTCTATGGTACAGTAGCGCCATATTACAATCAAGGAGGTATCCGCACTTGTGTACCTAAACCCCCCAGTCATTGTAATAGGCCGTTAGAATGGAAGGATCGTACATACTCAAGAAGTGTCAGCAAAAAAGGATTATGGCCGGCACAAGTTAGCATTTCTAAGGAAATTAACATATATATATATATATATATATATTTACATCTCCATGTGGATCGGTAATCCTTTCAATTCCCAGCAATAAGTCACCTACCAGAAATATCGAATATATATCAAATTTGATTCGTGTATATCCAACAAAAAGGCAAACTGATCCAGGATCAGCTCAAAAAACTGTACATTAACATTTCGGATTTTCATATAAAGTCCGCTATATAGGTCTACCTTTTAAAAACCGTAAGATGTGTCCTCTACCGGAATACCCTTCAGATCACAAAACGGCATTCGGTCCCCCAGAATACTCAAATTAACTAAACACCAGTAGATAAGTCATCCGTGCAGTGGTGCCAAGTTTCATTTATTTCTCTTTACATAATACTACTGAAGTCTCCTAACTTGGACTTGTATTATTATATTATTTTTCAAGGATCTCCAATGGATATAACCAAAATTCTTTCCAGCAACTTTGAGTACACTATTTGCTCGATTAAGACTATACAAAACGTTGCTAGCATACGACAGAAGGATGCCCAACGTTTCGTAAATTATAACTTACCTATGCAAAAATTATCAGATCATCGAGCAGCCCACACAATCAAGAATACTTTTTTCTATTACATGTCCAGGAGGTTGTATGAACTTTCAGATCGAGCACTTTGCTTTTCCAATAGCCTATGTCGTATCGACGACATCCTAATGATGATAAGCTTTAGACGCGTAATTTCCAAATCTGTGATATTAGCAGTTGAAATACTTCCCTGCCCTCCGGTTCGCAAAAAACAGCATTGAGTATCCTAAAATACTTGAATTACCTAATCACTATACTGAGCCTTACAATCATGTGACGTTATCTTTGGATAAGGAAATCACCATTCATGTTTGGTACCATCTATCTATGAGAATATTCCTAATCTTGAAATAAAATCGTATATCAACGATTTTCTCTAATAGCTCAGACTTAACCATATAGTCACGCCAACCAAAAGCCATATGATACAATCGTCCATCAAAATACCTTCGGATTCACAAAAAAACAGCACTGAGTCTCCCAAAATACTTGAATTTACTAAACCCTGCTAGATCGGTCTTCCGTGCAGAATAAATACACTTCTACCCTACGATTCACAAGAAACCAGCACTGAGTCTCCCAAAATACTTGAATTTACTAAACACTGCTAGATCGGTCTTCCATGCAGAATACTCTTCTACCATACGATTCACAAGAAACCAGCACTGAGTCTCCCAAAATACTCGAATTAACTAAACACTGGTGGATCAATCTCCCATGAAGAATACTCTTCAATACGCAAACCAGTGCTGAGTCCTCCACAATACCCGAACTAGCTGAATGGCGTACGTCTGACGTCAGATCGGTCTCCCGATCATTTTAATTCCAGTCAATAAAGCGCGTGCGCCCGGGGATAGGGTTTGTCGGTTTGTCTAAGATCTGAGAATTCATTTTATTGGCACCAATCGTGCTGGAAGGACGTTCAAATCTGTTGTGTATTCAAGAGTGTGTCTGAAAGGACTGTTGAGGTAAGTATGACTTTTTGAACTCTTATGCAATCGTTAATAGGATATGATGGTAATATGACTGTATTACTTACATTTAATGGAAAAGCAATGAATATTGAGTAGCGTGAAGGATAAAACAATGCTGTTCAAAAGGTCAACCCCCATAAATTTTACGCCAAACTTTATCTAATCTTGTTGGTTTAGTTTTGTATAGGTGATTCTTGAATGTAAAGCTACAATGTTTTTTTTTTCAAGTTAAAGAACAGGGTCAAGTAGATTGAGTGTGACCATACATCACTGAAAATTTAAAAATAGAATACTTCAATCAAAGCTCATTTTGGCTTTTTTCTAGCTGCTGCTTTACATCTTTTTTAGGGTACATACCTGTATATGTACTGATTCCGTTTTTTGCATTATAATACAAAATCACTACAGACTGTGCTTTTGACTCACGGTGTCAAGTAGCTCGACTTTATATGTAGACAATGATAATTTTAAACGGGAGATTGTGTTGATTATTTCCTATATGGTACAGTAGCGGGGTGATAAAATTCTAAATCTAAAATTGCAAATCAGAGATATCATGTTTTACTTCCCACGTCAACGGTCGAGGAAGTATTGTAATCGCAAGATATTTTGAAAGTGAGGTATTATGTTTTGTTGGATGCTATATGACATGCAGATCACGGAAAACCATGATACTCATTTCTGCTATAACGTGGAAAGTACCATTGGGACTTTGATGAAATTTAGACACAAGGTTGCTACGAGGCTATGGACAAGAAAGCTTTAGCTTTTAAAAATAGGTCCAGTGGCGTCAGAGAAAAGGGCCACAAACGAAAAAATAGAAATCGCTCAAACTTTGTTTTTTGACGATTCAGGGGCTCTTGATCATTATCCAAATAAATTTTGAGGGTTAGGAGTTGATGAGGGAGTGAATCGTAATTTCCTAAGGTTTTCTATCGGATCTATTTGACATATCTGACTTTATCAAACATTTGCGTAGAAAACAGGAAATCATACCTATTTCCTGTATCTGTACACTCAAAAATTTCTAGTGTTAATGCATGGATATAGTGTTTAATGATAACACATTACGTATTATTGAGTTTGGTAAAATTTCGAACATCATTCACTGGTATTGCTACTAGAATCAATTAAAAATAAAGTATTTTACTTTGACAATCAACATATACTATTGCTGCACGGAAAAAAATGGCTTGTGGATGTCAGTTCATTGGGAAAAAAGCTAATGACAAAAATTACTCTAATATAATTGGCTTTTTGACATTTTTGAGAGCACTCTTATCAAATATCTTTTCACTAAAAACAAGCATGTTGTATTCTTCCTGAAGATAGTCGATATTGTATATCTATTATTTTTTGGAATGGTATTATTTCTCTAAGTTGAAACGGAATAATTACAAAACAATATATTTGAACTTTTCCAGGGAAAGCCTTTCAATATGAGCAAAAATTGGTTTTGTAACAGAGGTCTATCACCTATCACACAGCATCCAAGAGATGAAGAAAAAGATAAGACTTCTGAAACAGTGATTACTGATTCACGTAAGGTGTCATCTGTGGTTAAACAAAACAGCGACCACAGTGACTGCAACTCGGTAAAACATAAGTATGTTTTTTTTGGTAGAGTTCCCATATTTATGATTTATTCTAGGTAATATCTTCTACATCCCCCAAGATATGCTGTACACCCCCATCATCATCAATATCCGGTTTATCAGAAAATGTTCATTGCAGTAACTTGTGCAAGGACTCTGAGGTAATAATCATTCACTGCCTAGTCTGTGAACTTTTTTATTCTATTGAACCTTTTTCAGTGCAACGTTACCTCGAATAACGAGAGCATAGTGGAAGATCCAGACCACCAAAGTGAATCTAGCTCGGTAAAGCAATATTATGTATTCTTTATGAAACATGTCTGATATATGTCATTCATTTCAGTTCATATCTCTTACTTCGCCTAATATATGCTGCACACCACCATCATCTTCTGTAATTTCTGATGCAGAAGATGAAGATTATAGTCCCCACACTAGTGAAGAGGCTGAGGTAAATATATTACTATTATTCTACTCAAGTACCCATTGAAAAATTTGGATTGGGTGGAGTTGTGTAGCCAATCCGATATTTTAATTTTGTAATTTTACAATTTTAATATTTTTCAACTTTCAAATTTTTTGATTTTTCGACTTTCCAATTAATAACTATAACATCTTTTCCATCAAAACGTTGCTATGTGAGGGGAATCTATGATGTTTAGAATGTGTCAAATAGATTGCGAAGAATTACTAGGGATGGAAGTGTATCATTAAACTAAATAAAAAAGAGATATACCCGTCCCACCCTCTACAACCTCCAACTCGCTAATTTTCCACCACAAATTTTTTTCTCAAAAATGATCAGTATCTGAAACAATAAAAAACGAAGTTTATGAGATTTCTTTTTTTGTTTTTAACTTTTTCTCCGCCGGCACTGGAACGCTCTTAAAAACTATATAGGTAGCTTTTCTGTCCCTGGTCTAGTGGTAACCTTCCCCCTCAAGTAATCAAGGACTCGACACAGCAGCAGAGCGGCGGACAGACTGACGGAAATGAGTGATCTACATGTCATATAACATGAAAGTACTTTAGAATACTTCCTTGTCAGTTTTCTGATCTTCAGTCCAAGGAACAAGAACCGGTCTTTTTCTTCGGTAACGTTTCATCCACTTGTTGAGATTCCGAATCTGGATGCGGTTCTTGGATTTCTTCATATTGATATAGAGGCTCTGGGTGGTCATTATCCTGCTGCGCTTCTGATATCAAATTCTCGTCCAGATTCAATTCAATTTTTTCTAGGGATTTTTCTTTGAAATGACCTGCCTCGCCCTTGTCTATCAACGTCAAAATCTTGGAGAGTCTAGCCGTTTGGTAGACATCATCTGGTAATCGGTATCATGCACGGTGGATACCTAGTGTATGTCCCATAAAAGATGCGAGTTGTTCCACGTCATTTTCTGACATGTTTAACAATTGGGTCAAAGTTGCTATGACCTTTCTCAGACGGGTGCTAGTCAGGGCATGCGGATTTGTAACCGATGATAGGTTCTTATGAATTGGGTTTACCGAAAAGATTTATGTTCGACACCGTCTGAATATTATCTTTACACTCTAGTTTTAGATTCAAGTGCTCATGTACATCCTTGCTTATAAGAACTGGAACACCTCTGCCTCTTTTTCCACGAATTTCCATTCGTTTGTTAGATCTCATTAGAATTCTCTCGGTTTCCGTTATTGCTTCCGAAAACTCCTTATAGGCTTGATTGTGTTCGTCAGATATAGCGGATTTGTAAACATTTATGGGAAGTCGTTGTAGTTTTCCAGGCCGCCTCCTCTTTAATGAAAGCATCCTACATTAAACTGTCTCCAGTCAAGACGTGCATGCTTTTTCATTACCTGAACTTTTTGTAGCACTGACACCTGATTTGCAGCTACTTTCATAAGATAATCCTTCAATAGTTTAAGATCACTAGCTAATGGAACCAATGTTTGCATTATCTACTGTTGGCAGTGACTCAGATTTTTTTCAAAACGTGTAAAAGAGCCACACCGCAACATTTTTTCAAGGTTGTACCCATGTTCATAGCATATGTCGGGGATCTATAAGCTTGGCTTTCATCATCATATCCTGATGTTAACTTAGTTGCTTTCACAAGTATGTCATATCTATGTGTTTTTATAGCAATCAATAGGGTAATCACAGACAAATCTAATTCCATTAGAAGTCAAGCCACTTCTCCCATTTTCCTAGAAACGACTTGGACAAATTGTAGTTCCCTGTGAAGTTTCAGATATCAGCAAGCATGCGCACATATTATCATCTTTTGCAACTTGAAACTTTGTCAGGTCTCATGCGATGAAATGCTTTTGCTTTGAGCTCATTATCTACCTTTATATTATTCAATAACAAAGTTTGTCCTAAAGTCTGTGATCGTTTGCCCGACGATCCCTTCTCCGGGTTTGCATCACATTGTTTGCGATGACGCCATAAGTTCTTGGCAAAATAGTAACCCATATAGTGGATGCATGATTCCGTTTTTCCACACCTTTTCTAACAGGTTTTACCCCCTCGACCTCCGAAGGCGATAAAATTATGATTTTTCCTTAGAGCAAAAAGCAGTTGTTGCCTTTTACGGATCAAAACAGGTAAATGTAGATATTCAAAAAAACGTTCAAAAAACTTCGTATTTGACGTTTCAGAGAATCCCGATCATTTTCAAAAACATTTTTGGAGGGATTAAAAACTCTTTCGTCTCTGGCCTTCTCTCACTTGCCAAACAACAAGCGACAAAGCTTATCTCTGAGCGAAGTTTTTACTGTAAAAATAGATTTTATTATACCTATTTGAAAAAATGGTGTCAAGTAGGTTGACTCTATACGTCCTACCCCTTAGAGACAGCTTTTAGTGCAATTTTCAATATAGTGCAATCGAGTCTATAAATTTGCTTTCAAAAATGACGGTTACAATCTGAATTTGAAGTTCAGTATAAAGGAGTGATTTTGATGCCCTTAAATATCACCTAAACCTTAGATATCATCTATAAGTAAAAACTTTGAATTCAAATTGTAACCACTATTTTTGACAGCAGATTAATAGATTCAATTGCACTATATTGGAAATTGCACTAAGAGCCATCTTGAAGGCGTAGGAAGTATAGAGTCAGCCTGCTTGATGCCATTTTTCCAAATAGGTATAATAAAATCTATTTTTACTGGAACAACTTTGCTCAGGATAAGGTTCTCCGCTTATTGCTTGGCAAGTGAGAGAAGGCCAGAGACGAAAGAGGGAAATGTGGTTGAAAAACAATGGTCATTCCTTAGCATAGACGGCATGATATTTTATGAATTGATCAATGAAACAACATACAAAATTGAACGTCAATACTAACACTATTCACTGAACATTTCATTTGATACGCCTCCAATGATAAGTATAAGTACTGTCCACCTGTCGCGATGCTTATGCATTTATTGTATTTATATTTATTTTTCTTTTGAAAGGACGAGGAACTGGACAGGAGCGATGAGGCCAGAGACAACTTACATTCGGCAAGTGTCAAGAAGAATGTTACTATACATGCAAAAGCTGAATCAATTCCCACCGCAGAATGTGATCAGTCTGCACCCAGTCAGTCTGGTTCTTCATCAGTGAATACTGGACTGTCAGGAAAGAAGAAAAAAGTTACAGTTTTCTGTTGTTTTTGTGAATGTGAGGTTTTTCATTTTCCACGTCATTTGAAAAGAAACCATACGAATGAAATTGAGGTACAAGAATTTCTAGCTTTACCTGTTTTAAGCCGTAAAAGGCAACAACTGCTTTTTGCTCTAAGGAAAAAGGGTAAATTTATCAAC